ATCTTCAGTGTAATAAATAGCAGACACGTGTTAGCAGAGGAAGGGCCCCACGCGTTTCTCAATCCCCACGCCACGCGTTCACTCTGACTCTCTCCCCTAAGACACGTGTAGCCCATGCAAACCCTTCCCTGAGACACTTGTCTTCCTCCCATCCTCGCCGGAGCCCCCCACCGGCGGCCATGCATCAGCCCTAACTGCACACCGCCGGCCACCGTCAACCAACTCCGGCCACCGTCATTTCCGCCGGAGATACCAAAAACCCAGAATCCATCCAATCCTCTCCTCTTTCTTCTCCGTTCTTCATCCACCACTCAAATCGCCAACAATCTTCATCCAATTTTTTCCAGACATTCATCCTTCTCAAGAAAGATTTTCAGAAACCACTCAAATCTTCATCCTCCATCGAAGCAAAACCCAGAAGATCCTCAGACGTTCGTCCTCCTCCATCAGTTTTCCAGAACGCATTTAGGCTTTCTTCAAGTCCAGAAATTGTCACGCCAAGAATTCCATCCTTGCTTCGTCAGGACGTCAACATCTTCGCGTGGAGTGAGATCATTAAATCTCAAGAACGTCATCGTCAGCCTTGTCTACACGAAGCTTTCTCCAGAAAGATCATCATCCTCCTTGCTTCGTCCAGGTTTGGTCTCTTTCCTTCTCACGCATGTTCAATTGAATTAGGGTTGTTTAGACCATATGAAGTTTGAGTGTCGTTTCAGATAGGGCTAGCTTAGGTTGAGAGGATTCGAATTTAGGGATGGTGATGTGTTTGAGGACTGGTGAATGTTGGAGAGCTTTTTCCCCAGAATAGAGAGAGCGTGAGGGAGAGGATGAAGACGAAGGAACAGCGCAAATTCTAGGTGTGAACAGTACCAGAGTGTTTTGAGGGGAAGATAGTTTGATTAGGGTTGGCTATTGGGCTTAGGCCCACGCGTGTTTTTTCTGATGCATACCCCAAACTGCTTTCCCACCCCCCTGGCGTGTGAGACCTGAGAGTAATTGGTGTGGGCCTTATGCCCAAAGTTACTAATGACACCCCCCTGGGCGTAGCCCATAATGAAAAATAACTGAAATAAGCTGCTAATAGCACCCCCAGATGTTTTTTTTTTCTTTTCTGAGTTTACTAATGGTTTTTTGACAATGCTGGGCCTGCGCCCTAATGCTATCAACACCACCCCAGCATAGGCCCATCCAGGAATAACTAGAATCCATTGCTGATTGAACCCCCCATTGCATTTTCTTTTATTTTGTTTTTTATATTTTCATGGTTTGTAAATAATTCATAAATAAATTGAAAATAATTGTTTTTTTTGATATTTCTTTTTCTACCATTTCATGAAAGTATCTAGAAAATTAAATAAAAAATAAAAAAGTCATTTTATTTTTGTTTGTTATTTTTTGTATATTTTCCATTTTAATTGATGTTTTTAATATTTTCAATGCATGCATATCATTAGAAAATTCATAAAAAATGGTAGATTTAGTCAAATAATTCCGTTCTTTTTTCTGTAGGCTCGTAATTCAGTGTAGAATTTTATAGTGCAGAAACATTAGCTTAATCATGCATTTTCATTTTAATTGCATTTTTCCACTGTTATTGATGTTGAATAATTGGTCTGTGGATATGTCTGTGTTGCTGATTTTAGTTCTTTCATCTGGTGTTGAATTTTGTTCTGATTTTTCAGTATGCTGTCATAGAGCCATGTAGGTTTCCCATAGTTTTTTTATTAGATTTTGTAGGATGTTCTGATAGGATTTGTCTGAGCCTGAAGATAGGAGAAGTCTTGGTGACTTCTGACTTTGAAGTTCAACTGTGGTTGAACTTCAGAGATAGTCTCCTGTGGTTTGGTGGCTTGTGGGTTCTTCTTGAAGGTGGGAGCTGATTGAGGTCCTGTTGGAGCTTGCAAGGATGCAGTGGATTGAGGCTTAGTCTAGGAGCTTGTTGTTTGTTTGTGAGGTTCGAGATCCTGAAGTTTGACGGGAGTTTATGGTACTTTCCTGAGGAAGGCACTATGAATGACTTTCATTCTTTCTTCTCACCTCTTTCGTAAGTATCCAATGATGTCGGAGCCGACTTGTGAGTTTAATTTCTCCTGAGGAGGAATGTAAACTAATCACATGTTGTTGAGGCACATGGGATACGATTCCTAAGTGGAAGTCCCCTAGTACTTTCCTGAGGAAGGTCCTATGGGTCTATTCACTTAGTTCCATTAGTTTATCTAGGATTTCTCAAGTATCCAGTGATGTCGGAGCCAACTTGTGAGTTTAATCTCTCCTGAGGAGGAATATAAACTGATCACAGTTGTTGAGCCACGTAGGATACGATTCCTAAGTGTCAGCCTCCTAGTACTTTCCTGAGGAAGGTCCTATGAGTCTGCTCACTTAGGTCCCCTAGTGCATATAGGTTTCTCAAGTATCCCGTGATGTCGGAGCCGACTTGTGAGTTTAATTTCTCCTGAGGAGGAATGTAAACTGATCACAGTTGTCGAGCCGCATAGGATATGACTCCTGAGTAGTAACCTCCTGGTACTTTCCTGAGGAAGGCACTATGAGCTTGTCTGCTTAGCTCCCTTTTCTCTGGTAAGCTTGTTCTGAAGCTTGGAGACTGGGATTGATTCCTCCTGCTTAGGGTTCTGATTAGAGTTTTGGCTTAGATCTGTGCTTAGGGTGTTGTATAGAGTTTTGTTTAGAGAGTTATTAGGAGATTGTTTCAGGTTTGTTAGAGGCCCTGCTCAGGGTTAGTCTCTTTGTATTGTTTGACTTGTGTGATGTTATGCTGCATTAGACTTAGGTGTTCATCTAGATAGTTCTGAATAGGTGCATCTTAGAAGTAGACTTTGTGTGCATGAGAAGTTGAGGTGGTCCTCCTTCTGCTTGTTTGTTATTGCGTGGCTTTGCTTGTTGGTATTCGGTAGAGCTGAGCTCCCTTGCCTCTGTGGTTTGCGGCCTTCGCGCCTTGTTTGCTTAATTGTTGCATTCATGCATATTTTCAGTATTCCTTTACTGTGCAGTTTCTTGTTTGTAGTTTAATCCTGTTGCCATGATCCCTTAGGAGCTCTGACTTCTCCGCTGCGGAGTTGTTATGATAGACATTAGGATGGTCAACCAGGTGTGATAGCAGTAGGTAGATTCCCCTGTTTCTCAGCTATAGTTCTAGGGTTCCCCTTTCCTTTCTGTAGGAGCTTTTGAGTAGCTTGATCCGTAGTTAGCCGAACTACAGCTGCTCTGATTCTTCGTTCCAGACGAAGATATGTAGGCATAGGATGCGATATCCTAGCGAGCACACTAACGACTAACTTTAGTTCTCTCGCGGCTGTGCGATCGAGACTTCCCCGCTAACGACTAATTGTTATCCTTTCTCTTGCCCGAGCGCATTTGAGACCAGATCGTAGTTGTAGGTTCCCGAGCCTTAGAGACCAATTTGTTTTCTCACTGCTGTGTGAGAGCCCCTGTTTACCCGTAGTTAGCCGAATTACGTTTGCTCTGATCTTTCATACCAGATGAAAGTACGTAGGCACAGGACGCGATGTCCTGGCGAGCAACCTTTCCCCCGTTTAGGCGTAGGAAGTCGAACTACGTTGACTCTGACTTTCCCATTGCACGAGGGAATACGTAGGCCCAGAACACCGTATGTTCTGTCGAGTCCTGTCCTTTTATTTTCTTTTCAGACCAGCCAGTAGCGTAGATAGATAATACACCCTTTTACCTATAAACACCAAGCGTGGATCCCGTCGAGTACGACGGACGTGAGGGGTGCTAATACCTTCCCCTTGCGTAACCGACTCCCGAATCCAGGTTTTGGTTGCGATGACCATACCTTTTCCCGTCTTTGCGAGGTTTACTTCGAGCGTTTCCTTTCCCGCTCTGAGGGATAAATAACGCACGGTGGCGACTCTCCTGTCAAGCCGGCGCCGATTTTCGCAGTAGCGACATGCATCACAAAGGGATTGTATTCCTCAGGAAGACCATCAAGAATGGCATCAACTTGGTCTTGCTCAGTGATGGAATCTCCAACAGCTAGGAGTGAATTTGCTATGGCTTTAACCCTGAGCACAAACTCAGTGATCGTGCTGGCTCCTTTCATATGAGAGTACTCTCTTTTCCCTCCCACCCTTAAAAATTGGAACTCCAAGGCAAGAGAAAGGGAGAAACCATTTAGTGAAGCCAGTTTTGAGAATGATCTGCTCAAATCTAGCAGCTGGAATGGAACTTGAAAATATGAAGGATTTTGCACTACTGACCCTTTGATTAGAAGCTGCAGAATATCTAGAGAATAAATTAATCAAGTTATCAATGTTCGCAGGACTTCCTTTGTAAAAACACAAATATGCCATCTGTGTACATCACATGAGACGGAAAATAGAAATTGTTAGAAGACTTTATAAGCTTTAGATCACCCGAATCAACCATTTTAATGAGACTTCTGTCAAGAACTTCTTGCGCTAAACAAAAGAGAATAGGCGAAAGCTGGTCCCATTGCCGCACCCCATGAGAGAATTTGAAAAATCCATGATGAGCACTATTAAAAGAGATTGACATATGAGCAGAGGCAAGAATGATATGAATCCAATTGCAGAAAGTCGTATTAAAACTGAAACCTTTAAGAACCTTAAGCAGGAAAGACCAATCAACCGTATCGAATGCCTCAGTGATGTCTATCTTTAAAGCAAAGTTGCCACCAAAAGACTTATTATCCAAGTGATTTATGACTTCGGAAGCAAGAAAATAAAATCTTTAATAGATCTACCTTGAATGAAACCTTTTTACAAGGGAATCAAAGAAGGTATGAAGGTAGCCAGTCGGTCTGCTAAAATTTTGCTAATAATTTTAAACTTGAAATTCGAAAGAGCAATATGCATGAAACTCTCCATTCTATGGGAACCTTTGGTTTTAGGTAAAAGGATAATAGTATTGGAATTAAAATTCGAAAGAATCCAACCTGATTTGAAAAACTCCAGCACAACATTTGTAGTATCCAAATGAACAATCTGCCAATAAGTGTGTTAGAAAAAACCTCTGAAATCGTCCGGCCCATGAGCACTAGTTTTGTTGAGGTTAAAGACAACAACTTTTATTTCTTCAGCAGAAGGAATACTTGTGAGGAAATTGTTCATGCTAGAGTCCACTAAAGAGGGAATCATGTCATATATAATGGAGTTATCAAAAGAAGTACCTGCAAAACAGAAAAGGTCAGTGAAATATGAAACAGTGTGATCAACCATCTCCACATGATCCATAATGAAAATATCATTGTTCATCAGAAAAGTAATGTTGGTTTTGGAATCCTTAATTTTAGCAATGGTGTGAAAGTAGGAAGTGTTCATGTCACCATCAGAGTGCCATTGAGTTCTAGATTTTTCAATCCAAAACATTTCTTCTCTAGAAAGGAGAGTTTCAAGGTCTAGCTGGGATTTAGTTTCCTGTTTTCTTTAGCAACTTCGATATTTTTTGAATATTGCCAAACGCCTCTATGTTCCTGACTTTAAGCTATGCTTTGAGAAGCTGAAGTTTCCTGCTGAGAATAAACATAGGGCATCCAATGATAGAGTTAGACCAACAGCTAGAAATGAACTCTTCACATGTTACATGCATGGTCCACATTCTGAGGAATTTGAAGCTGGAAGCATGCTTGTGAGAAGTAAAAGTAGATTAAAAAAGAATGGGATACTGGTCAGATCTGAGTTTTGGCAAGGTAGAAGCATTCAAAGAGGTACATGTGATAAGCCAGTTGTTAGTAAAAAAACACTCTATCAAGCCTTCTCTCAACAAAATGTAAGCCTTGCCAATTGTTGTTCCAAGTGAAATAAGCTCCAGAAGTGGGAATATCAATGAGGTTGTTATTGTCAAACCAATTTTTGAAATCCTGCATATGAGAATTATTAGGATTGCGTCTACCATTGTGCTCATAAACACCCAAAATAACATTGAAATCTCCAATAATACTCCAAGGAATAGCATTATAAATTAAATTGGAAGAAAGATTATCCTATAGAGTTCTTCTAGCCAAGTGGCAGGTTAAAGTATAAACTGTAGAAATGTCAATAGTGCGAGAATCTTGAGAAAAGTTGAAAGAGACATGTTGGTCTGAGATAGTGATAACATGAGGGTTGATTGAGTTGTAGCAGAAACACCAAAGACATGGAAGAAACTCGCCTCTGTCATTTCAAGCAAAGAGTTTAAGGTTCAAGTTATCAAAGAATTTAAAAGGAAAATTCTTGAAATCCATCCATGGTTCTGAAATGAAAACAAATCTTGATGATATTTTTCAAAACCAATCTTGTGGAGGAATTGGAAATACCCCTAACATTCCAAAAAATGGCTCTTCATTGTAATGGTTGGAATTTATCCACCTCTGTTCTAGTCTTGAAATTGTTGAAATTCCCTCACACCCTATGAAGAATTCCCTTCAATCTTGATCTCAAGATTGATGAACAAACCCACAATATGATAGTAATGGTAATAACAAGTAATTATCAAAAACAACAAAAGAAAAGAAGAACAAATAAGAAAGAGAAGAATGAGAGAATTGTTACCCACAACTATGGGATTTCTGATTTTATTGAACCTTCACTTGCTAACACTGCAACTGTGAATCCAGTTCTACTGTTGTTATTGAATACAATGCAAGACACTCTATTTATAGTTTTAGGTTTACAAAAGCCCAAAACATAAAAGGTCCAAAATATTCAAATCAAATCTAATCATATATCAAATCAAATCAAAACAAATGAATTACATTTAACACACCACCTAATTCATTGTGTCTAAACTCTCCATATTCATCATGGCTCTTAGTCTTCTGAAGGCTTCGACCTGCACTCCCTTCGTCATGATATCTGCAATCTGATTCTCAGTTCTGCAGTGTTCCAACTTCATCTTCCCTTCTGCTACCTGCTCTCGAAGATAATGGAACCTCATTTCGATATGCTTGCTTCGACCATGAGCTATTGCATTCTTCGCCAAGTTGATAGCTGACATGCTGTCTATCTTCATGGTAATTACTCCATGATTCTTCCCTGTGATTTCTTCGACCAAGTTCACCATCCAAGTTGCTTGACATGCACAAAGAGAAGCAGCTATATATTCTGCTTCACATGATGACAATGCCACAACTGGTTCCTTTCTCGAATTCCAAGCAACTGGTGCACCACCTAACATAAACACATACCCAGCTGTGGATTTTCGATCCTCAGCGTCACTACACCAACTGGAGTCTGTGTATCCCACTAACTTGCATTCTTTTCCTTCATCAGCTGCTGGAAACAAAATGCCATAGTCGAGAGTTCCTTTCGGATACCTCAGTATCCTCTTCGCCGCTTCTAGGTGTGATACCTTTGGCTTCTGCATGAATCTACTTACCATACCAACACTGTATGCTAAGTCAGGCCTTGTGTGACAAAGGTATCTAAATGACCCAATAAGTCTTCTGTATTGTGTTGGGTCGACATCATCTTCATCTGAATCCTTCGACAGTTGCAATCTGGGCTCAGCTAGAGTCGAAGTTTGGTTGCAACCTTGCATCTCAAATCTCTTGAGTATTTCGCCTGCATATCTTCTTTGATTCATCATCAAACCTCTACTTGTCTTGTAGAATTCGATGCCAAGGAAATATGAGAGATTTCCCAAGTCTGACATTTCAAACTCCTCACTCAGGTCATGTTTGAAATCTTCGATCTCCTTCTTGCAACTCCCTATTATCAACAAATCATCAACATAGAGACATAGTATAAGCAATCTGCCATTGCTTCTTATTACATATACTCCATGCTCAGTTGTACACTTCACAAATTCCTTCTCCCTTAAGAAGCTGTCGATTTTCTTATTCCAAGCTCTTGGAGCTTGCTTAAGTCCATACAGGGCTTTATGAAGTCTGTACACCTTTCTTTCTTTGCCTTGTTTCACAAACCTAGCTGGTTGTGCAACATAAACTTCTTCGTCTAAGGGGCCATTAAGGAATGCACACTTCACGTCCATCTGACATGTGTGCCAGTTGTTCATATTTGCTAGACCAACAACCAACCTGATTGTTTCGATTATAGCAACAGGTGCGAATACTTCATCGAAGTTGATTCCTTCCTTCTGAAGAAATCCTTTCGCCATAAGTCTCGCCTTGTGTCGAGTTACTTCTCCTTTAGGATTTACCTTTACCTTGTAAACCCACTTCACATCAATTGCCTTCTTGCCTTGTGGAAATTCGACAAGTGACCAAGTATCATTGACTTCGATGGACCCCAACTCTTCAATCATTGCTTTCATCCACTTCGAATCTTTCAATGCCTCAGCTACATTGACTGGTTCGACATCTACGTAGAAAGCATAATGTACCAGCTCACCCTCTTCATCGACTACATCATCTAATGTAATTACACATTCTTGCAACCTTGCAGGCATGTGTCTTGTTCGTCGAGGTCTGCTTGAACCTGCTTCATCTGCAACTGGTTCCTGTCGAACTTCTATTTCGACTTCAGTGGCTGGTTCTTCACAAGATATTCTCACTGAATCCTTCTTGGTATTCTCAGTCCAATCCCATTCTTTAAGCTCATCTATGATCATGTCCCTGCTGATCACCACCTGCTTATTCACTGGGTCGAACAGCTTGTAACCTCCTGTCGAATGATATCCTATCAAGATCATTTGATTCGACTTATCATCAAGCTTCCTTCTCAACTGATCTGGCGCATGTCTATGTGCTATAGATCCAAATACCTTCAAGTGACTGAGACTAGGCTTGACACCAGACCAACATTCTTCTGGTGTGATTCCTTCAAGCTTCTTCGTCAGACATCTGTTCAATATATATGTTGCTGTCGAAACTGCTTCTCCCCATAATTCTTTAGGTAAATGCTTTCCATTCAACATACTTCTCACCATATTCATGATGGTTCTGTTCTTGCGTTCTACAATCCCATTTTGCTGTGGAGTGTAAGGTGGCACCACCTCATGCACAATCCCTTCTTTTACACATAGTGTATCGAACTCTTTTGATACATACTCTCCACCACCATCAGTCCTCAGAATTTTCAGCTTTCGACCACTCTGTCTTTCGACCATGGACTTGAATCTGGAAAATACCTCAATCACATCACTTTTCTTCTTGATGAGGTAAGTCCACAACTTTCGACTGTAATAATATATAAACGTGACAAAGTATCTATTGCCACCAATTGAATCCACCTGGATTGGACCACATACATCAGAGTATATGACTTCAAGTATTGCCTTCGACTTCCATCCTGCATCCTTGCTGAAGCTATTCTTGTGTTGTTTCGACTGAACAGACTCCTCACAGACTTCACTTGGAATGTCGATTTCTGGTAATCCTGAAACCATATTTCTTCTCTTCAGTTCTCTAATGTCATTAAAGTTGAGATGACCTAGTCGAAAATGCCATAACCACTCATCTCTGCTGGCTGCAGTTGCTAGACATCTGTGCTCCATCATATTGAGTCCAATCTTGAAGGTCCTATTCTGAGACATTCGAGCCTTCAAGATTGATCTACCACCTGCGTCGAGAAATCTCATCATCTTGTCTTCGACAACTACCTTGTAGTTCTTTTCGACAAGCTGCCCTATACTGAGCAAATTACTCTTCATGCCTGGTATGTACAACACACTGGAAATTGTTGACCTTTTGCCATCTTTCCTCATAATCAGAACATCACCAACACCTTCAGCTGCTAGAGTGTTGTCATTTGCAAACTTCACTGTGTTCTTCGACGAGGGCTTCATGTTGACAAACCAATCTTTCCTTCCAGTCATGTGTGATGAGCATCCTGAGTCCAAGTACCACTTATCTTGGAATCTTTCTTCATCTTTTGTTGTGACCATTAGCAACGTTTCTTCTTCTTCATGTTTCGCCATCTTTGCATCAGTCTCTTGATTTCTCTTCCTTTCTGGACAATCACTAGCATAATGACCATACTTTTGGCAATTGAAACACTGAATGTGGCTTTTGTCTGGCTTTCGACCACCACCTCTTCCTTTACCTGCAGCACCACCTCTTTGGTTGCCTTGGTTCCAAGGTTTCTTCTGATTCGACTGGTTTCCTCCTTTGTTGCCATTCCAGCTACCTTTGCCTTTTCTTTCCTTTTTTGACTGCGCCTGTAAAGCCATATCTTTTGAATTTCCTGCAGCTCTCTCAATCATCCTCTGTGCATGAGACTCAAGAGTCCCTTGAAGCTCTTCCTTCGTCAACACTGATAGATTTTTCGACTCTTCTATGGCAACTACCACGTGATCGAATTTTGGAGCCAACGATCTCAAAATCTTTGAGACAACTGCTTTCGTCGTCAACGCTTCTCCACATACTTTGATTTGATTCACCAACTTTGTAACTCTGGTGAAGAAATCTGTAATGCTTTCGTTGTCTTCC